TTTTAGCTTTATGTTTTCTGTCCAGGAGAATTCCCAAACGTCCTCCATTCGGAACAGGGCCTAGGAAGCATGGGTTGACCTTTAGGAGGAGTATGGGGGGTTGCAGACTGCCAGAAATAGTGCAAATTGAGTCCACTTTTAGGGTTAGGGTTAATGCTAGGGAATCATGGGAATTTTTTTTCCCTGAGACATTGAGCCTTCTCTGTCAGAGAGCTCTGGTACCACAATAAAATACAGTTCCCATGATTCCCTAGCACTAGCCTTAACCCAAAAAGTGGACTCAGTTTGCACTATTTCTGGCAGTCTGCAACCTCCCTATGTTGAGCTCCCAGTCGGTTCCTCTCCTCCATGTTCTTCTTCCCTTGGACATCCTCCATTTCAGCCTTCTGTCCAGGAGGAATTCCCAGAAGCCACAAATTGGGAGCAGGACTAGGAAAGGCACAGGTGTACATTTCCAGGAGTGGTGTGTGTGTTCGGAGCTTTTAGTTGGCCATATCCTCCTCCCCTTGTTTTTCCTGGAAGGTCCTCCATTTTGCAGTGCCTTGTCCTCCTTGGTGGTGAGGACACCTGGTGAGGACTCCCCTGCACTTCCCTGGCCAAGAGAAAGCAAGGCAAAAAGGGAGGGAAGGGCAAAGGGGTCTCTCTCAGTTGGAGCCAGAGGGACAGCTTGGCCTGGGATTATCTCTCTCTCTCTCTCTCTCTCTCTCTCTCTCTCTCTCTGGCAGTTTAAGCCCAGGAAATGGGTTGATTACCAGTCCTGAGGGAAGAGGAGGAGGGAAGGGAAACGGTGGTGAATGGGAGCAATGGCCACGTGTGGACTCCCTCATTCAGAGGCCTCCAAATGCGGGGGAAGGGATTGGGGAAACCGGCTCAAGAAGGAAGGCACGTGTTGGGCGGCCTCCGCCTCCTCCCCGCCACAAGGCTATTTTTATTCGCCTTTCATTCTTTCTTTCACAGAAGGTTACCATATATACCCGACTATAAGTCGACCTCATGTACAAGTCAAGGGCGGGTTTGGGGGCCAGAATTATGGCTCTGGAGATGACCCGTGGATAAGTCGAAGGTAAATACTTAGGGGGATGTAATGAAGGATGGAAAGGACAAAGGAAAGGAAAGCAATGCCAAAGGATTTACAAAATTCCAGTAGGCATGTAACTATTTGTGCTCATGAGATGGATGAGAGAGTAGAAGGGGGTCAGTGCTTCCAGGACAGATTACACTCTTGCCTTTCACTTGGGGAATGGTGTATATCTATCTATAGATAGATAGATATACACAGAGAGAGAGATCTCTCTCCCCATTTGCAGACTTGGAGTCCACAGTCTCGTCCATTTGCAGACAGGAAGTGGGGAGGGATAAAATGGTACGTGCAGCCATTAAAACAAATGGGACCCCAATATTTGCATTTTTTCCAATTCTCAGGGGGGTCCAGAATGGAGCCCCCATGAATTGGAAGGGACAACTGTATATGGACCTTATCACACGGGGTCTAAAGCAGACCTAATCCAAAGGATATCCATAGCTAATCCGTATTAGTTCCTCGTGTTTACACACGACGTTGCACCAAAACTCGACAGAACCCGGAGCTAATCCGTAATGAATTGAGATCTTTTGACATTCGGTTTTTCGGGGAAGTACAAGCGAGCTTTCGGAATTATTGCGCAATGGCCGCGCAGGCGAAATACATATGATCACGCAATACGTATTGTGAAGCATTTCAGTTCATTTCGGTATAGAACTGAATTTATTCTTATTTTGGTTACTTTTCGCTTCATGGCCAGCGTGTGATAAGGTCCTATGACTTAAAGTACAGTACTCACATTGATCTGTGGATATGTTGATTCAGTTTTGGGGATCAATTTTTTTAACCTAAATTTCTAGACTTATACATGAGTATATACAGTATGTAGAGAGATCTTGTAGCACCTTTGAGACTAACAGAAAGAAAGAAATTGGCAGCATGAGCTTTCGTAGACTTCAGTCTACTTCCTCAGATGCATTTGGGGTCTATTTCCTCAGATGCATTTGGTCCAAATGCATTTGAGGAAATAAACGGAAGTCTACAAAAGCTCATGCTGCCAATTTCTTTCAGTTAGTCTCAAAGGTGGTACAAGATCTCTCTACGTACTGATTCTACAGACTAACACAGCTAAATCTTTGAATTCTATGAGTATATACATTAATCCTCTGGAAAAGGATGAAGGGGACTCATTGAAGAGTTTTCTTCTCCTTTCCCGCCTCTC